GGATCTCTGGGTGCAAATCAACTTAGCAGGGACCAATTGTCCAACAAATCTGCAGGCAGAAGTGGAGGTGGATTGGCTATACTTTAAGGAAGCAAGCTTTCAAGTGAGGAACATTACACGCTAGGCAATCGCTCAAGTGGAACCGGAATGGGAAGCGGCGTGTTGGTCGTCAGTGTGACAGTGACATGAAGGAAGTCATGTGAAGAGGAGATGAAAGCATGTGGGCAGACGTGGGGTCAGGTGATGAAACCGTTGCAGAGAACCAAAGGCAATAGAGATGTGAGGTTGAAGCCATATGCTTCTCTAGGAATTGAAGGAAGCAATAATGGTAGTAGTACTAACTGATCATCTTGGCTATAAACATTTTTTTTTAAGAACATCTCATAATTTCCCGTATGATTATAGCTGTTACTGTTCACCACGCATACACATATCGTAGCTTCCACTAACTAATACTGAAATATTTTTTTTCATTATTTTGTGTTCGTCTTCTTTTTTACTCAGTATTTTTATTTGCATTTTTTTTGGTTATTTCTGTTTCTTTTTTTTGGTTTTTATTATATTTTATTTTTTTTTTATAATACTCCTCTTAAATGTACGATGAAATTAGATGCAGTATTGTAGATATGTGCTGAAAATTCCACACTGTACCACAAGTACTGTTTCTGGAATAAAGCGAAATTGTTATGTTGTTATGTTATGTTATGTTATGTACTAATAATCGGTTGAGAAATACTTTCTTCATTGGTTTGTTCCCAAAGTTTCTGAACTGAAAACCAGGGAGAATTGGATTGCTGCTTCATCCTAGTTTGAGAGTCATCGGCAGTATTCATCTACTGTGGCTAGAAGCCAGAACCCCAGTTTGACTAATTAGATCACAGCTACCACCACTGGTTGGATCTAGCTTGCTATTTCCCATTATAGTTCTCCTCGAGTGGCTGATTGGCGCGTATATTTACTCAGTGATCTCTCTTCAGCTTGTATTCAATCCATCTGCGTTCCCTCCTTCATATTTTTCTGTGCAATAAATCATCGGACAGTTCTTTCCCAGGGATTCCTGTTATTTATCCTTTCTCGTAGGCCATATGATCTGCGTTATTGAGTTAACAAAACATCTGTTGACAAGTGTTTGAAGTCCATTCAAAATGCTTTGAAATACTCGAAGTGACTCGAGGTTAGTGTTGAAGAACCTAATCATCTCCTTTGTGCTTAGTGTGATAGATTTCTACACTGATTTAAGAGTAATAAAGCTTTATCTTTGTTATGATCTACGTCGTCAGTTGAAATCAACTCATCGCCATTCTCTTATGGACCTGTTATCAGTTGAAATGACCGAGTTGGATTTATGCCTAGGTATAATAATACTAATCCAATGAATAACTCTACTGTGATGCTTAATACACCTATTCGTCCGTCATATCTTTCCCTTCATTGAGCCATTTAAATATCTAAAGAAAACAACCAGCCTGTTTCTATAGGAATACGATTTAATTAGGGAAAAAGCACTTCGTACTTTTAGACTTTTAACCTGACTAAATTCTCGCTAGGACAGAGGAAACAGATTGGCAGGTAATTCAACCAAGTCAACGAAAAGTAAATATTCTCTAACCGGTCGTCGATTTGGCCAAGATAAGTGTGTGAGACAAAAGATGATGAAACTTCACAGTTATCGGAAAACACAATGAATCATATAGACCTGTCTTGGATATGCTGAATTCGCCGTATCACTCTACCGCTAAATGGCTTGCGGAAATTCTGGAACCAGTTAGATTGAATCTATGTAAACATAGTCTTTCCGACACTTTTGACTTCGTCAGTTGTGTTGATGAAATTAATGTGACTGGTAAGCATATGATTTCGTTAGATATTTGTTCATTGTTCACAAATGTACCACTAGTAGACACTATCTGCTATCTATGCGAGTATATTGAATCAAATAACATGAACATTGGCTTACCAACTGATTATCTTAAACAACTACTATTGAGATGCACACTGAATGTGCAATTTAGATTTAATGATGTCATCTACAACCAAAGAGATGGAGTCGCCATGGGGTCCCCTTTAGGACCGCTCTTAGCGGACGTTTTCATGGCTAGCTTAGAGAATGGCCCACTAAAGGAAACCATCGATAGTCTGTTTATGTATAAAAGATATGTTGATGATACCTTCATTGTATGTGATGAAAACACTTCAACTGCTGAACTTCTTAGAATATTTAATGGTTCTCACCCATCTTTGCTTTTCACGATCGAAGAAGAGTCGGATTCTTCGTTTCACTTTCTTGATGTTAAGCTAGATAGAAGAGAGAATGGAACGCTTCTAAGGTCGATTTACCGAAAGCCAACATTCACTGGGCAGTACACTAACTTCAACAGTTGGGTACCTTTAGGGAGAAAGAGAAATCTTATTCACTCCTTATGCTCCAGAATTCGTAAGATCTGCTCTCCAGAGACAATCGATAGGGAACTAGACAACCTTCGATCAAATCTCCTTAATAATGGTTATCCTACAAGGTTCATTGAACGTAACATCAAGAAAGAATCCACCCCGAGACAAGTCACAGTACCAAAGAAAAAGCTGTTTATGAGTCTTGCATTCAAAGGTGACACCATTTCAGAATTGATTAAAAACCGTTTATCTAAATGTATTAAACGTACTTTTCCTGCAGCTGACCTGCATCTAGTTTTTACCAGCCGAAATATGATCAGACAAAACGTCAAGGATAGATTACCGCTTTTGTCCACATCTATGTGCATTTACTCTTTTACTTGCTCTTGTGGAGCTGTTTATATTGGACGTTGTAAGCGTAATCTCCGAAAACGTGTAGCTGAACACTATCCGGTTTGGTTAATGAAAGGCGAACGTAGAACTGCAAAGTCGTCTATCTGTGATCACCTGTTAGAGTCTGGTCATTTAGCCCCACGTGATTCATCCTTCAAAGTTATATACATGGCAAAATCCAATCGATCCAAAAGTTTACGTTTTCTGCACTTATGCATAGCTGAAGCTTTAGCTATACATGAACAGAAACCTATATTATGTGTTCAAAAGCGTTTTGTCAAACCCCTTTCTTTACCTTGGTCATAATAATTTTCTTTCTAGTTTTTATTTTATTTTACCACTTGAATTCTTTCCACTTCACTTCACATCTTCATTCTTATCGTAATCGTACTCCTAATTTTCATAATTTTTTAGACAACACTTGACATTTTTGTTATAGAATAATCTTTCATGGTTGTAATTTATCCACTTCAACTCTACCCCTTATAACTTTTATCACATATATACGTACATTGACTGATCAATTATTTAGTGCCATTTTTGTTATAATACAATCTTTAATATTTTTGGTAATTTATCCACTTCAACTCTACCCCTTATAACTTTTATCACATATACGTACATTGACTGAGCAATTATTTAGTGCCACTTAATAACCTTTTTCTGTAATATAAATACGACTGTACAGCTTGAAAATGAAGTCGTTGAAAAGAAATTTCTTCGCTGAAAAAAAACTGTGTTTTTACTTATGAATAAATGGGTATTTTTCGAGATATAGAGAATCATCAGATGACTACTATTTTAAGGTCTGTGCGCCATGTGGCTGAAACAAGGCTGCCACCCTCTACAAAGGACTTCTTTGATTTTTCTCCCGTTTAATGACGACTGGTGCCTGTACTTGTTGATTAGGTATTTCTCTATCGTGTCTGTCTTCTCCATGTTCACTTGAAATCCTGTTTTCGGTATTGCCTCTTCCACTGTCTTGTTGTCTTCCGTCTCTATATCTTTGTGAGCGAAATCTACATCTTCTAGAGTACACTTGTTGGCCCAAGGAATTCCCGCTTCTCTGTCCCATAACCTATCGAATGATTCAGTCCATTGCAGTCAAGAATATTATCAGTCCTAGTGGGCAGCCTTATATTCCAGGCATCTTCACTTAAATGACATCGCTAATTTTTCAGCTGCATAATTAGTTGTCTTCTATCCCGATGAACACATTACGTTCAACCTATCAGCTTCTTTCCATCAGATATTCAGGTATTATTATTATTATTGTTTCCTTTAGGAACACAGGGCTTCAATCTCACGTCTCCATTGCGTTCGTTTCTCTGCCAACGTTTTCAACTGGCCGCACGTCTGCCCACCTAAAGATATTCAAGTGACATATTATGATTACCAGTAAGTATGCCAGCCTAGGTGCTTGAATCGCAAGCTGCTGTTGTGATTATTTTCCTTCAATATATTTCAGTAAAATTCAAATATTCCTGTTACGTTGAAAACGACTGGTGAACAAGCCCAATTTGTGTGGAATAGTGACCATGGCGACTGCAATTAAGCGAATTAAATACATTTTGTGCTGTTTCGCTCTGTTAGAAGTGTCTAGTTTAGTGGGCTAGCTCTCTCTGTCTTCTTGTGGAGTACTAGTTTCGGAATCTTAAGAAATGTCCTATCCTGAATCCTTTACAGACTGAGCCTAGGACCCTTAAGTTATTGGTCAAACCTGTTGACGGTTCACTCACCAGGTAGGAATCCAATGGCTTGAAAATTCTGAGTTCTGGCTGTTTTACTAATACGCAGTACTGGAAAATCAATGAGATGCTCATTAGCGACGGGTACCATTCAGGTAGGTAGGGGATGAAACGTCGTGACCAGCTAGCTAGCCCTCACGCTATGTGAAGAATTTGCAGATATCAGAGTTCATGGTCTGGCCATTGGATCAAGTCCCAGTGATGTTGATAGTCTACAAGCCCGACTTGTAACCAGAAAGTCCTGTGTTTGAGCCCTGGTGGGTGCTTACTGCTTGAGAATGGATTTCCAAACTAGTGTGACGAATCAGATGCACAGTACTCCATAGTCCTGATTTTCCAATGCTTCTCTAACTGATTTCAGCTCATGATAAAATCCTGTAACCAATCAATCAAATGCTTACAAACCAATGCTTTAAAATACTCAATATTATTGTCCTACGCATTCACTGGCAACCAGTGACAACTCACCAATGTATCCGATTTCGTAGAAGCATCACCATCTTCTCTGGGAGCAGAAATTATCATCACCTTTAATCCATTAGGCAGTTCAAAATCTCTGTGATATAAAGCAATAACAGAAAGAAAAGAATTTTTAACTTATATTAAATGAGTTAGAGTATTCCGAGTTAGAAATTGATATACATTATAAACAAATATAATCAGAAAGCCTGATAAATAAGTAGGTGGCATTCTGTTTTATAATATCGTTTTCTCTGATATTATACCAAAGCGTCTGTAGCTCAATGGTGGAATACTCATTCGTCAGCCGCTCATGTATATAGTTCGAGTTTAATTTTGTTCTGAAACACTTCCACGCCTTAGTCAGTTTATTAACCGATAGTAGGTCGGGTAAAGAAGAAAGATTTAACTTAAAGCAAGTGATCCTACACACATAAACCACGGAGAGTGCAAAGTACACAACTGCTGAGCCTAGCTAATAAGAAGGAAAAAGAGTATCCGGAGACTGCATCAATCCCATGATATGGATAGTAAGCAGTACTAGTGACCAATTCAAGGCGCGACTCTCATTGACTGACTCTCATTCCAACCAGCCAGTAGGCATACATGGTAATTGTCTTTCGGCTCCCCCCCTTTACCTTCTGTTGGTTGTTGTTTACGGATTTTCGATTCTGGGGTTTTGATAAATAATTAGTCTTACATCAGAGTTGCTTTACTATTGAGTTTGTGTTTTAAGGACTGCGAAAACGTGTTAGCAAATTATTATCATTATAATTATATTATTATTTCTTTGGGTTCCAAGTGGAACATAGGGATTCAGCATCACATCTCGGCTTTTTTGTTTCTATTTTCTGCTATCCTCTTCAGTTGAGTCTACGATTGACCATAATCTGTCATCTCCTTCTCGTCACATGCTCTTCCACATGTCACTCTGAGATGAGCCAGTCGTCTCTGTCCATTCGGATTCCACTCGAGTGATGGCATGCATTACACAAGAAGTCATTTGACAGTTTCCTCAATTTATGCCAGAATGACTCATCTCTTTTTTCTTTCTACATATTTTTTTGAGCAATCGGCTCTCGCTTGTTGGTTTTGGTCTCCTGCAGAACTTCTTGTTACACTAATTCTTTCTGGCTGGCCATTTGATCTTTACTAAGGAGTCAGCGAAGGCAGTTGTTGCTGAAAATCCTTTTCGTTACACGCTGGTTAGGTTTATGATCCATATAGATAGGTTGACTTGATATTTGTTTTAGAAATGCCAACCCTGTTCAGTATGCTGAGTGTAGACAATTTCCAAATTGATTTCAGGTTGATGATGGCGAATCTTCACTTGCCGATTCTGCTTGGCTTTGACGTTTTCATCCGTTCTTCGTGCTGATGGTTGAAACCGCGATTCCTAGCTGTATAAGTCAAGGAAGTGACCTCTTTCAAACTTCTCCCGTTAAGGGTGATTGGTGTCGTTGGTTGGATGGTTATCTTCATCAACCCCGTCTTCTGTATTTTTTTACCTGGACTTCTGTATTCGCCGCCAGTCAGTTTATGGGTTTTTAACTGTATGTCTTCGAGTTTGTGTGACATTAAACATAAGTACTTCACACGCGAAATCTTCTAGATCCTTCTTATCGGTCTGTGTAGCGAATTCCTGTCTTCTCACTTGTAAAGTAGAGTCTGATGCATAATCCAGTCCACTACGATTCAGAATATCATGAATAATAGTGGACAACCAGCCTTGTCTCACTTTTGTATTCACTTCGAACGCCTCACTGAGTTTCCCGTTGTAGATCACCTGACACTGTGTCATTTGTGTCATATAGCTGTTGAATAAGATTTATAAAAACTTATGATACTGCAGGTCTTAGTGTTAAAGCAGTTTACAAATTGCTTGTTAGTTAACGATGTCTGTTGAAGACCTTTTTTTCGAATTCAATGAAGGAAGTTCAGGTTGAAGTTTGACTGGCATTCTTTGCTTTGTAAGCAAATTTAAAGATATTTCACTTCATCATTCTCATAAGTTTTAAACATACGTTTTTCTAAAGGAAATCTGACGGAAGCTGAGAACGACTGGACAGAACTTGAACGTTTATCTGGTTGTCTAAAATTTTGTGACAGACATAGTCAGGTTATTTTGTTTTTTTTTTATTTTTGATTACAGCCTAATTCCACACTGTATTTTTGGTACAAATATGGAATTTTCTGCATGGATATCGGTAGCCCAAATTTTGAAGACTGACCTTAAATACTAGTTGTGCGTCGGCAGATGCTTCAAACCTTGGACCATGTGCATGGTCTGCAAGAGTCCTAACCACTGTGTCACCGACGCACACTTAAAGACTGTTGTTCAGTTTAAAAACGTATTTGCCGAAACAAACGGCTTTACTGGTTCATTTAATTAATAGCTAGAATGATTTGAAGGTATTCTAGTCAATTCCTACTACCGGTTTAAGAACGAACAAGCACCACTGTCAACAGCCTACGTACGCAGAAACACCAAGATGCACTACTTGACTTTAAGAGATGAACCAAAGTCTGATAATAACTAGATCTGAGCAATGACCTCATACAGTTATCACGGATAAGAGTGATAGTATAGATATAATGAATTTTACTCTCAGTGACGAGACAAAATGTCAAAAACTGTAAAGCTACAAAGCCACAACTGAGGCCAGTGAACGATAAATTTTCAAGGTACTAAAATCAATAGTTGAGAGAACAATTCGATTTCTAAGTTTACACCTAATGAAATAAAACCATCAGGCGCGCACACAGGTACACCAATATTATACGGTCTACCGAAAGTCCACAAGCATGGAGTACCATTACGTCCTATTTCGAATGTGTGTCAGTCTCCCTATCATTTTACAGAAAAGTGGCTAGTAAAAGCATTGTAACATATACATTTTGAATCACTGAAATTTGGCGTGAAATACGTATTCAGCTTTGCACAAAGCTGTTCCAAAATCCTGAAACTGAACGAGAAGTAAATGATGTCACTGGATGTAGCATAATTACTCAACAACGTCCATCTCCTAACAACAGTTACCTATTTATGTGACAAATTAACAGATATAGAGATTGATATAGAAATCCCACTCGAGAAGGTCAACGAATTATTGTTGAAATACACGATGAGCGTCCAATTTATGTTCAACAATAAATTTTTGCGGATAAGTTGGTGGAGATGGGATAAACTCATCCCTTAGCTTTATGTTAGGGTACATTTTCTTAGCAACTCTTGAAAAAATGGTCCACCGAAAGACACGATTAAGGAGCTTGACTATTATTGTAAATGGGTAGATGATACTTTTGTCTTTTGAGATAATAATCTTGATAAAAAAGAGCTTAGCATGCTGTTAGGGTGGTGCGATATAGACAATGGGTTCCAACGAAATATTATTCTCACAGTTCACTACTGTGTTAGCAAAAGAAATGCTATGTATACTTGAACAGTCAATTTCACGTCATTTCATGTCAGTCAAAATCACATCTTCAGTGACTGGTTAAAGGGCATAAAATGTTTAGATATAAATAGCTGTTTAGTCACTTGAAAATATACCTTCACTTCCATATCTTGCCTTCTGCTGCTACACTGGTAATGACGTTCCCTTAGCTAATCATTTTGCACATGAGAGGGAAGAAAACAAAAGTATACCACACCTAGACGTCGTCCTCTTCAAGAAGACAGACAGGTGGCTATCTTCAAGGAACCTATTTAGAAAGAAGACTTGAACGCGTCAGTACACTCATTTTCATTGCTTCCCACTAATGCTATACAAAAGAAACTTTGTTGACAGCCTTTTGTTAGAGAACAAAACGCAGGGGAAGAAGTGTGTAAATTGAAATGTATACTACAAGGAAATGGATATTCAGAGAATTTCCTAAAAAATTACATCTCAGCGTAGGATGGATGTGTAGATAAGAAACCTGTGTATCGTCAGTTAAGCTAAAAAGTTTCAGATGACATTTTAAATTATCGACTTAAAAGATCAGCAGAGAGAGAACACCATATACATCTAAACTTGTGCTCAGGTTTTTAACTAAACCAACGCTCAAACAACGAGTCAAGGGTAAATTACCAATGATTGCCTCATCACTGAGTATCTATGAATTCATCTGCTCATGTGGAGGTAGTTGGGTTGGTCTGACTCAGAGAGGTGTATTCACGTAGGCACATTACTGTGTACCTTTATGGTTGATTAAAGCGCTAACCACATACTGTCTGTCTGTCTGGATTCAACATAGAACTTGGCACCGAAGTGCAGCAGTTCCAGTTGCCACGTTCCAAATAGCACACAGAGGTAGACAAGAAGATGAGTGAAGAGAATCAATAGAGTTTGACAAGTATAAGAGTGAAACAGAATGGGTAATGGTAGAAAAGAATGTGAAAGATTACAGAGGCTGAATACATCTGCGCCATTGACAGCGATTTTGAGCCATGTCACCTATTGTCTCCAGCCATTGATTCTTAGAGTCCCGAGGGCCCCAACCCGGAAGTCTGCATCTCCCTCCCTACCTGACTCAGTTTAACTGTCAAGGATTTCATGGATTGATGAGGCCATGTTTTTGTTTGGCCGCCACTGGCTCTTTTCCAACCTGAACCTATATCAGCTAGCAATGCCCGTCGTCGGGGGAGGCGGTGGTTAGGCATGCGCAGCACGTGACCTAGCCATCTTAGTCTATGTAACTTTATAGCCTCGTCGATTGATTTTCCCTCTTTGCCTGACCAACACTACGCCTAACGTCAACATAACTTACCTTATTAAACCACCTAACGTGAGACAGAGATCGCAGACATCTACGGTCGAAAGCAGTCAACCTTTTCATGTCTTCAACTAATATTGGCCATGTTTCAGAGCCATAGACAAGGACGGAGCAGTACACACGTCCCTTGGTTGATAACTGGATGTCACGCCTACGCCAGAGATGGTGTAAGTCAGCGAAAGCAGCTCGAGCTTTTCGGATCCGTGCTGACCGTGCTAACCACATACGTAAATAGTGAAGTCTTAGGCCAATTGGTAGATACACGACACACAAAACAGCAGCTGTCTACAGCGTTGCTGGGAATCTGTCTAATAAAGCTGGACTACGTCTATCCTCAGT